AAAAAATATGTTATTGTGAATTGACCTTGGATAGATTGTAACATCCACTTCATATACATAATATACATATATATGGATATATAATTGTTCTGTCTGTCCACATATATTATATGGTGATATATATGTCAAGTTATTGCCTGCTTCATGTTTATATTCAGTTCATCCATCAAACTGGACAACATCATAAAAACAACATCATAAAAAACAAAACAACAGCAGCAGCTGCCGGAAATAAGATATGAAAATGATTAGGTGTGAAGTTCTCAACAACAAAATGAAAAACATTCAAACAGCTCGTTATTCTTTTTCCGAACTTTTGCTGTGTGTTCATTTTCTCTGCAACGGGGCAAAGGCTGGAAGAAAATGTCATGAATAAATGTAGAGAAAGCAAAGAGTAAAGGTGAGTAGGAGGGGAGGTTCAGGGGATGCAACACAGTAAGGAGAAGGAAGAAGCGAGTGCTCACACATCTGTACAGATGTGATCGCTCAGAGGGAGGACTAGGCTGTGTTTTGCAGTTGCAAGTGTCAAAGATCAGGCCTTTGGGGTAATGATGCAAACCATGTCCTCATGAATCATTATAGCAGCTTAGAACTAAGTGTATATCTCTATTGTATTCCTATAAGTGCTTATTAGTGTGTTTTTTGGGGACTGTGTGTGTCGTGAATGTGAACCCACGTTCTCACTGGTAGATGAAACGCTCTTTCCTTTGGAGTTCAGAGGTTAAATTCTTCCACTGGAGAAATCTAGACACCCAACATCTCTGTGAGGCACCTGGGAACACCCGCTGCACTATAGACACACACACACTTCTTGGACAAGTATCCACAAGTGTCCATTCAGAACTGCTCCATATCACACATTATGGGACTACAGGGTCCAGTGATCCACTAATCGCTATGCGTTTTGCAAGAATAACTGTCAGGAGACACTGGCTCAATCATTAAGGAATGCTGTTCCACAGATATGATCAGAAAAAGGGAGAAGCTTAAAGTTCTGATAGAAAATCGGGGAGGCAGAAATTGCCAAATATGACACAATAAATTATTCAAAAGGTTATCACAAAATAATCTGTTCACACACAGATACAACTAGTGCTAAAACCCCCCTAATTTGAAGTACTGATTCAACTTTTTTACTCAACTGAAATGTATTCAAAGCAAGAAAGCAAAAAGGAGCTTTTTACTGGCCATGTTTGTGAAAAGCTGAGTCTTCTGCTACATTAATGAAATAATAAAATAATATTAGTAGATAAGAATCCAAAGTTTTAATGCTTAAACTCAAAGCAGAGTAAAGTTTGACTTATCTGATTCTTTTTTTTTTGTTAAATACTCATTATAATCCAGTGCACCTTATGGTCCAAAGAATACAGTAGTCAGTGTAGTTAATTTTAGTTCGCTGTCAGTGACCATTCAACAAACAGGTTGAAACACACACACACACACGCACGCACGCACACACACACACACACACACACACACACACACACACACAACACACACACACACACACACACACACACACACACACACACCAGTCCAATAGTCACCTAAGAGATTAGAACAGCCTGCCTGTCGCTCCAGCTGCCAGGTCATCTTTCAGTGCTGGAGATGGGATGAGAAAGGTGATGAGTATGTAGAGTTTTTGTAGCTGGTGATGAAAGAGGGACAAGAAGGGGATTATTAACAAGTGGAAAAAAGCAGACAAAGATGGCTGGTAAGAGAGAAAGCAGAGAGGCTTGAGAGAACTCATCATAGGCTTGAATGTCATGGTACTTTGGGACTTTTAATGATTTATTTTATCTGAATCAGTTTGATCATTTGATTGTACCGAATACATCTTTAATGACTTTAACAAGCAAGAATTGGGAGCATAAGTTTGAATTTATCTTGGATTTTTTCCAATCCTGTAGACCTTTAATCTCAAATCTATACATACAGTACAACCCCATTATTATTTGGTTAAATGTTCCTTAGCAAGTTGCATCTTGACCAGATATTTCTGGTAGCAATTATTAAGCTTCAAGCATAATTTTGTCTGGATTTTTGATCACTCTTCTTGGGAGAAATGGTAGAGGTCTTTTAAATTGGTTGTTTCCCTGTAACAGACATGACTTTAAAGTGTAGTCCACAAATTTTAAATAGATTTGAATTTCAGATGTGGGAAGGCCATTCTGAAAGCTAGCCAACCAAACCCTGGAGGCCTACCTCCACAAAAAAATTTCTCAGACATTTATGTGAACCCTTTTAACTAATGTCATGATTATAAACTTCACAAGAGTAGAAAAAAACTGAAGAATGACCAAGCTACACAGAAGACAATAAAGATCACAATAAAATGAATATCTGGTATGGTACACCACATTTTTTGGTGAGACATATCTAAATTACAGAATTTGACTGCTGCTGTGGTGGAATAAGATTTAAACGTGACAATAATAGCAGTGTTAAGATTAATCAAAAACCAGGAAGCACTGGCACTAAGCAGGAACTCGCCTATTGGGAAATCGCGCTTTTCCCTTTTCAGTGCCGCCGGTTCCAGGGGGAAGACGGGTGATGTGGTGACAGCTGGAAAACTGTCTGGTCAAAAGATGAGACATCAGAGCATAAACTCAACTCTGTTAATAATAATAAAAGCTTTTCAGAAGCACGCTGAGTGTTGCGAGTGGTGACTGGGGTTTAGAATTAAAACACTATAATATGGAGGCACTTACTTCCTGTAAATCATCAGCGAAAGCTCTGCAGTGTAATCAACTGTCATTACACTACATTATTGTCCAGTGTAAAACTTTATGATTTTTGTTTCTTATTAACTATATTGCATTCCAGTTATACATGGCACCAATGAGAGTCACATGGGAACGAAGCAGACATGGGTGGAGTGGGTATGGACAATAGAAGTAACATTATTACTTAAATAGAAACCACCATTTAATTTATTAATACTTCTCAGCCAGTTTTTCTCACAATATGCTTATATGATAAGAATGTTTTAAGCAGTCATTGACTTTTTATCATTAAACACTTTGTATTTCACTTTCATAAAAAATAAAGTTATTTTTTTATGGCTGACAGGCACAAATTAGGGAACAATGTGCAGAGATGGGAAGACAGACAAAACAGTGGGGATGGGTGAGTCAGAGTTTAAGGGTGATGAGTTTTCATTGAGCTACACGGGTAATGAAAAGACATGGAGGAGAACAGTGAACAGGTGCTGACCATGTGTACAAGGTAATAAAGGCAGAAGACTCACACACTAACTATGCCTCCCCCATACACAGGAGGTTTTACTGAGCACATGACAGGTTTGTAGGGTCATGTCTGTCATTTCATGTGCTTGCATTGTGTGTATGTGGACCTCAGGAGTGTCAGTGCATGGCAGAGTGAGATTGAAAGATTGAAGCTTGTTGAGGTTAATTGTTTACTTTCCACGCCTTTTGCTTTTATTTTAAAATATATATACACAAGGTTTCAAAATACCTGACATGCATGCACACGTGTTCACACACATGTTAAAACACATGTTCACACAAGAGTGCCATCAGGTATAGAAATGCCCACATATGAGTTTTGGAGTCATATGGATCTTTAATTTGGAATGAGTGATGTTAAATAACCCAATAGAGAAACACACTAAGTGCACAATCCATTTACTGACTAACCTGTATGCACCACTATAATTTAGTAGTGTTATCTCCAAAACACATATCTTATCATTATAAATGCCTTAATCTTTAACTAGATACTGTTCCAGCCTTTAAGAAGACTTTGCTGCATGAGGACTGATAAGAACATGCCTGACAGAAAGCAGCGCTGTAAACAGAAATCAGGGTAGCACTTTCTATTATAGCTGCTAATAATATGGCACTTGGGGTAATTAAGTGGAAAAGGAAGAGTAATAATTTGGGAATAGAAAATTAATTACCAAAAGTAATAATCAATAAAAGGGCAACTTATTTAATACAGAAATCTGTATGTGTTTTATGTTACTTCTCAAATTTGCTTTTATTCCAAAACACAGTGTCTAAAAAAACCAACGCTGGATTCAGTAATATGAGTTTGAGTATTATCTTTGTGAAAACGCTGTGGATCACAGTCTTTATGAGGATTGCATGCTGACCCAATATTCAAATTTAAATAGACACAATGATTTTTTTTTCTTTTGGTGCCATTATATTGTGTCTTATTCTTGGAAAATTGTATGATAAAAATACACTTTTAGTATAAAGAGCTCAATATGCTAAGAGCTTAAAATGATAACAATATATCTGTAACGGCGGATATCTAAAGCTAGCTCATATTCACGTAATATAACGTTTGTGCTTTTATTTTGGTAACTTCCCCGCCCGTGTGACCGGAAGTGAATGGTGTAATGGTAAACAACTTGATGTGCAAAAAAGACGGAAGAAAACGGAAAACTAATGCTAACGGAGAAAAGGGAGAGAAGAATATAGTTAAATTGTACAAAAAGTCGACAGGGGAACAAGCTCTTACTGTAGCATCCAGTTCTGGCCTTCTCAGTTCGACTGGATGCTACAATATCTGAAATGTAAATAGCAGTTGGCACAGAAAATAGAAGAATATAAGACTAAGAGAATGGTACTAGGCTAGAGGCTCTGAGGTTGTACCTGGACACAGGAGTCAGTGCTGGTGTTGATATCTATTCAACAGCTACGGATGAAAAATACAAATGTCAGTGGTCCTCCGTTCACTTAGAACACGACATTGTAGACAAATCTTAATGATAATAGTCTTTATTTTGTGGCAGTTGGAATGTCAAGGTCACTACAGTTGTTTCTGTTATAAATTAACCAGGAAGTATTGTAATGGACTTTGATCAGTTTCTTAATTCGTCTAAGTCACATGCACTGAAGACATTCTGGTTTTTCTTTTTGTCATAAGACCATTTTTTAAGTCAGGTTAAAACCAGACTTAATTCAGCGCTTGAAGTTTGTTTAGAAAGAAGACTGTTCCAAAGGGATACTATGGATTCCTTGGCTTTCAAGCCAAGTGTGATTGAAAGAGTGGCAGCTTTTGTGTTCATATAAACATGTGCATGGATTTGGAAATAATTAAATTTAAAGTAGCACCACAATTAGATAAAAACGAATGCAGGACCACCTGAAAGCAGAAAACTGTGTTTTAAACAAACATGTCTGAGGAACAACATATGTCCACATCGACTGCCAAGTGAGTTACAATTTTTGATCTCACTGTTATTATGCAAACTAAACAATTAAATATTTTGCTAAATATTAATGTACTTGATGTTTTAAACTTGAATGTGAAGACTAATGTGCAGATGCTGATGCAGTGTGTATTTTTATGTCACTCTGTTGCTGTAATTTTATTTTCTCTGTTGTAACAGATCTGCTAATCATAGGTTTGAAACTGGTAAAGCTCTGAAAATTGAGTTTTAAATTTTTCAGCAAGTTATGATTTTTCTTGTGAAACAAACATTAGCTTTGTAAAACATGTGTTATTTGAGACTCAAAGATCATGTCCAAGGGAAACCTGAGAAGGTTCCTGGTTTGAACTTTCTGGTTTCCTGGGTTTTCCTTTCGAATTTCTATGTTTTATTGTGGCTTTGTGGGTTTTCTCTAGGTACTCCTGTTTTTTTCCCACATTCCAATGGCAAGCTTCTTAGGTTAGATTGTGATTCAGAATTGGCCATGCCTATGTATGTGAATGTATGGTTGTCTTTCTGCCATATCCGCCAACAGACCACTCTGACTCAGCTTCTTCTTCTATGAGCTGCCTCAGCTCTTCTATCGTTAACCCAATAGCATTTGCACATTAAAAAGGTTTGCAGTGAGCTAAAGCTTTCCTTAAAGCCCAATATGGAGCGTTGGTGTTACGTCACATTTCCATCTCCTCACACACAATTTACAAAATCTATCACTGAACTCAGGTGAAACTGAGGCCTGGTCATAACATCAAACTTAACATCAAATCGTTACTGCTGGGCATCTTGTTCTGTTGATAATTGAAATTGGTGTTTGAATGGGTAAACAGAAGTTACAGATGCACTTTTAAGCTTTGTCTAAATAAGACATTTTCTGATCCTTATTGAAGTCCACATGAGCACCAAAGACCTGTTTCCATGAGAAGTGACATGTCCAAAGGGGAACCCCCAGACTTCAGTGATAATAAACCAAGGTAAGATACTCTGGAATTAAATTTCTATTAAACAAGTAAGAAAATGTTATTATAAACTCCTCTGTCATTAGTAAATCTGATTTAAAAAAAAAAACTAAGTACAGCATCGCAGTAATCTCAGTCAACAATATATTGCTGGTCATTCATAGCTTTGTACGTAAATAACTGAAATGCAGCACTGAAGCAGAGACTTCATCACCAGTATGTGGTTGTCAGTTAAATGATGAAGTTGTTTAGAACAGTTTTTTATTTTTGGTAAGTCATATAATGTTATCATCAGCACAAAGCAGGTGTAGCTTAAATGTGGTGTGTGGATCTTTGCTGCTAAGCCATGTGTCTGTGGAAGCACAGATACAGCAGACTCTCTGTGTAGTCAGCAGGAGTTACCCAACTTGCTCTCCAGTGAAAAGACAGTGGAGAACATGAAACAAGGTTTCAGAGCTATTGCTAAAGCTTTCCTTAAAGCCTAATATGGAGCGTTGGTGTATATCACATTTCCATCTCCTCACTAACAATTTACAGAATCTGTAAGTGACCTCAGATGATGCTGAGGTCTGCTCATAACATCCAATTATGTTGGTTATTGAGAAGATTGAAAACATTGAGGGTAGACTTGACACTACATCAGTTATCAGTCAGGTCTTGAAATGAATAGTGATGGGACAGAGACAGCTGGTTAGCACGCTGTGTTCAGTATCTTTTTCAGCAAAACACTTAAATATATTTCTGCCGCTTAACATCAAATAGTTACTGCTGGGCATCCTGTTCTGTTGATAATTGAAATTGCTTTTTGAATGGGTAAACAGAAGTTACAGATGCACTTTTAAGCTTTGTCTAAGTAAGACATTTTCTGATCCTTATTGAAGTCCACTTGAGCACCAAAGACCTGTTTCCACGAGAAGTGACATGTCCAAAGGGGAACCCCCAGACTTCAGTGATAATAAACCAAGGTAAGATACTCTGGAATTAAATTTCTATTAAACAAGTAAGGAAACATTATAAATCCCTCTGTCATTAGTAAATCTGATAAAAACTTTAAGTACAACATTCCAGTAATCTTAGTCAACAATATATTGGTCTTCATTCATGTTTTTAGAATATTTTGAATTGTAACTTTCTGATAAGCATTCATCACTTTCAGCACAAAAGAAGTCGAGCTTCACGGGACATCTAACACTATCAATGTTAAAGTGACATTAATAGTTGTAATATGAACTGTGCAATCTGTTCCACTCATGCAAAAGTGACAATGAGCAGTATTTGGCAGAGCAAAGTTTTTGCAGCATTTGCTGTAAATACATAAAAACCTGAAATACAACATTAATGCAGAGACTTTATCACCAGTATATGGTTGTCAGTTAGTTATTTTTGGTAAGTCATATAACGTTATCATCAGCACAAAGCAGGTGTAGCTTAAATGTGGTGTGTGGATCTTTGCTGCTAAGCCATGTGTCTGTGGAAGCACAGATACAGCAGACTCTCTGTGTAGTCAGCAGGAGTTACCCAACTTGCTCTTCAGTGAAAAGACAGTGGAGAACATGAAACAAGGCTTCAGAGCTATTGCTAAAGCTTTCTTTAAAGCCTAATATGGAGCGTTGGTGTTACGTCACATTTCCATCTCCTCACACACAATTTACAAAATCTATCACTGGACTCAGGTGAAACTGAGGCCTGGTCATAACATCAAACTTAACATCAAATAGTTACTGCTGGGCATCCTGTTCTGTTGATAATTGAAATTGGTGTTTGAATGGGTAAACAGAAGTTACAGATGCACTTTTAAGCTTTGTCTAATTAAGACATTTTCTGATCCTTATTGAAGTCCACATGAGCACCAAAAGACCTGTTTCCATGAGAAGTGACATGTCCAAAGGGGAACCCCCAGACTTCAGTGATAATAAACCAAGGTAAGATACTCTGGAATTAAATTTCTATTAAACAAGTAAGAAAATGTTATTATAAACTCCTCTGTCATTAGTAAATCTGATTAAAAAAAAAAACTAAGTACAGCATCGCAGTAATCTTAGTCAACAATATATTGCTGGTCATTCATAGCTTTGTACGTAAATAACTGAAATGCAGCACTGAAGCAGAGACTTCATCACCAGTATGTGGTTGTCAGTTAAATGATGAAGTTGTTTAGAACAGTTTTTTATTTTTGGTAAGTCATATAACGTTATCATCAGCACAAAGCAGGTGTAGCTTAAATGTGGTGTGTGGATCTTTGCTGCTAAACCATGTGTCTGTGGAAGCACAGATACAGCAGACTCTCTGTGTAGTCAGCAGGAGTTACCCAACTTGCTCTCCAGTGAAAAGACAGTGGAGAACATGAAACAAGGTTTCAGAGCTATTGCTAAAGCTTTCCTTAAAGCCTAATATGGAGCGTTGGTGTATATCACATTTCCATCTCCTCACTAACAATTTACAGAATCTGTAAGTGACCTCAGATGATGCTGAGGTCTGCTCATAACATCCAATTATGTGGTTATTGAGAAGATTGAAAACATTGAGGGTAGACTTGACACTACATCAGTTATCAGTCAGGTCTTGAAATGAATAGTGATGGGACAGAGACAGCTGGTTAGCACGCTGTGTTCAGTATCTTTTTCAGCAAAACACTTAAATATATTTCTGCCGCTTAACATCAAATAGTTACTGCTGGGCATCCTGTTCTGTTGATAATTGAAATTGCTTTTTGAATGGGTAAACAGAAGTTACAGATGCACTTTTAAGCTTTGTCTAAATAAGACATTTTTTGATCCTTATTGAAGTCCACATGAGCACCAAAGACCTGTTTCCATGAGAAGTGACATGTCCAAAGGGGAACCCCCAGACTTCAGTGATAATAAACCAAGGTAAGATACTCTGGAATTAAATTTCTATTAAACAAGTAAGGAAACATTATAAATCCCTCTGTCATTAGTAAATCTGATAAAAACTTTAAGTACAACATTCCAGTAATCTTAGTCAACAATATATTGGTCTTCATTCATGTTTTTAGAATATTTTGAATTGTAACTTTCTGATAAGCATTCATCACTTTCAGCACAAAAGAAGTCGAGCTTCACGGGACATCTAACACTATCAATGTTAAAGTGACATTAATAGTTGTAATATGAACTGTGCAATCTGTTCCACTCATGCAAAAGTGACAATGAGCAGTATTTGGCAGAGCAAAGTTCTTGCAGCATTTGCTGTAAATACATAAAAACCTGAAATACAACATTAATGCAGAGACTTTATCACCAGTATATGGTTGTCAGTTAGTTATTTTTGGTAAGTCATATAACGTTATCATCAGCACAAAGCAGGTGTAGCTTAAATGTGGTGTGTGGATCTTTGCTGCTAAGCCATGTGTCTGTGGAAGCACAGATACAGCAGACTCTCTGTGTAGTCAGCAGGAGTTACCCAACTTGCTCTTCAGTGAAAAGACAGTGGAGAACATGAAACAAGGCTTCAGAGCTATTGCTAAAGCTTTCTTTAAAGCCTAATATGGAGCGTTGGTGTTACGTCACATTTCCATCTCCTCACACACAATTTACAAAATCTATCACTGGACTCAGGTGAAACTGAGGCCTGGTCATAACATCAAACTTAACATCAAATAGTTACTGCTGGGCATCCTGTTCTGTTGATAATTGAAATTGGTGTTTGAATGGGTAAACAGAAGTTACAGATGCACTTTTAAGCTTTGTCTAAATAAGACATTTTCTGATCCTTATTGAAGTCCACATGAGCACCAAAACCTGTTTCCATGAGAAGTGACATGTCCAAAGGGGAACCCCCAGACTTCAGTGATAATAAACCAAGGTAAGATACTCTGGAATTAAATTTCTATTAAACAAGTAAGAAAATGTTATTATAAACTCCTCTGTCATTAGTAAATCTGATTTAAAAAAAAAACTAAGTACAGCATCGCAGTAATCTTAGTCAACAATATATTGCTGGTCATTCATAGCTTTGTACGTAAATAACTGAAATGCAGCACTGAAGCAGAGACTTCATCACCAGTATGTGGTTGTCAGTTAAATGATGAAGTTGTTTAGAACAGTTTTTTATTTTTGGTAAGTCATATAACGTTATCATCAGCACAAACATGTGTACCTTAAATGCGGTGTGTGGATCTTTGCTGCTAAGCCATGTGTCTGTGGAAGCACAGATACAGCAGACTCTCTGTGTAGTCAGCAGGAGTTACCCAACTTGCTCTCCAGTGAAAAGACAGTGGAGAACATGAAACAAGGTTTCAGAGCTATTGCTAAAGCTTTCCTTAAAGCCTAATATGGAGCGTTGGTGTATATCACATTTCCATCTCCTCACTAACAATTTACAGAATCTGTAAGTGACCTCAGATGATGCTGAGGTCTGCTCATAACATCCAATTATGTTGGTTATTGAGAAGATTGAAAACATTGAGGGTAGACTTGACACTACATCAGTTATCAGTCAGGTCTTGAAATGAATAGTGATGGGACAGAGACAGCTGGTTAGCACGCTGTGTTCAGTATCTTTTTCAGCAAAACACTTAAATATATTTCTGCCGCTTAACATCAAATAGTTACTGCTGGGCATCCTGTTCTGTTGATAATTGAAATTGCTTTTTGAATGGGTAAACAGAAGTTACAGATGCACTTTTAAGCTTTGTCTAAATAAGACATTTTTTGATCCTTATTGAAGTCCACATGAGCACCAAAGACCTGTTTCCATGAGAAGTGACATGTCCAAAGGGAACCCCCAGACTTCAGTGATAATAAACCAAGGTAAGATACTCTGGAATTAAATTTCTATTAAACAAGTAAGGAAACATTATAAATCCCTCTGTCATTAGTAAATCTGATAAAAACTTTAAGTACAACATTCCAGTAATCTTAGTCAACAATATATTGGTCTTCATTCATGTTTTTAGAATATTTTGAATTGTAACTTTCTGATAAGCATTCATCACTTTCAGCACAAAAGAAGTCGAGCTTCACGGGACATCTAACACTATCAATGTTAAAGTGACATTAATAGTTGTAATATGAACTGTGCAATCTGTTCCACTCATGCAAAAGTGACAATGAGCAGTATTTGGCAGAGCAAAGTTCTTGCAGCATTTGCTGTAAATACATAAAAACCTGAAATACAACATTAATGCAGAGACTTTATCACCAGTATATGGTTGTCAGTTAGTTATTTTTGGTAAGTCATATAACGTTATCATCAGCACAAAGCAGGTGTAGCTTAAATGTGGTGTGTGGATCTTTGCTGCTAAGCCATGTGTCTGTGGAAGCACAGATACAGCAGACTCTCTGTGTAGTCAGCAGGAGTTACCCAACTTGCTCTTCAGTGAAAAGACAGTGGAGAACATGAAACAAGGCTTCAGAGCTATTGCTAAAGCTTTCTTTAAAGCCTAATATGGAGCGTTGGTGTTACGTCACATTTCCATCTCCTCACACACAATTTACAAAATCTATCACTGGACTCAGGTGAAACTGAGGCCTGGTCATAACATCAAACTTAACATCAAATAGTTACTGCTGGGCATCTTGTTCTGTTGATAATTGAAATTGGTGTTTGAATGGGTAAACAGAAGTTACAGATGCACTTTTAAGCTTTGTCTAATTAAGACATTTTCTGATCCTTTATTGAAGTCCACATGAGCACCAAAAACCTGTTTCCATGAGAAGTGACATGTCCAAAGGGGAACCCCCAGACTTCAGTGATAATAAACCAAGGTAAGATACTCTGGAATTAAATTTCTATTAAACAAGTAAGAAAATGTTATTATAAACTCCTCTGTCATTAGTAAATCTGATTTAAAAAAAAAACTAAGTACAGCATCGCAGTAATCTTAGTCAACAATATATTGCTGGTCATTCATAGCTTTGTACGTAAATAACTGAAATGCAGCACTGAAGCAGAGACTTCATCACCAGTATGTGGTTGTCAGTTAAATGATGAAGTTGTTTAGAACAGTTTTTTATTTTTGGTAAGTCATATAACGTTATCATCAGCACAAAGCAGGTGTAGCTTAAATGTGGTGTGTGGATCTTTGCTGCTAAACCATGTGTCTGTGGAAGCACAGACACAGCAGACTCTCTGTGTAGTCAGCAGGAGTTACCCAACTTGCTCTCCAGTGAAAAGACAGTGGAGAACATGAAACAAGGTTTCAGAGCTATTGCTAAAGCTTTCTTTAAAGCCTAATATGGAGCGTTGGTGTATATCACATTTCCATCTCCTCACTAACAATTTACAGAATCTGTAAGTGACCTCAGATGATGCTGAGGTCTGCTCATAACATCCAATTATGTTGGTTATTGAGAAGATTGAAAACATTGAGGGTAGACTTGACACTACATCAGTTATCAGTCAGGTCTTGAAATGAATAGTGATGGGACAGAGACAGCTGGTTAGCACGCTGTGTTCAGTATCTTTTTCAGCAAAACACTTAAATATATTTCTGCCGCTTAACATCAAATAGTTACTGCTGGGCATCCTGTTCTGTTGATAATTGAAATTGCTTTTTGAATGGGTAAACAGAAGTTACAGATGCACTTTTAAGCTTTGTCTAAATAAGACATTTTTTGATCCTTATTGAAGTCCACATGAGCACCAAAGACCTGTTTCCACGAGAAGTGACATGTCCAAAGGGGAACCCCCAGACTTCAGTGATAATAAACCAAGGTAAGATACTCTGGAATTAAATTTCTATTAAACAAGTAAGGAAACATTATAAATCCCTCTGTCATTAGTAAATCTGATAAAAACTTTAAGTACAACATTCCAGTAATCTTAGTCAACAATATATTGGTCTTCATTCATGTTTTTAGAATATTTTGAATTGTAACTTTCTGATAAGCATTCATCACTTTCAGCACAAAAGAAGTCGAGCTTCACGGGACATCTAACACTATCAATGTTAAAGTGACATTAATAGTTGTAATATGAACTGTGCAATCTGTTCCACTCATGCAAAAGTGACAATGAGCAGTATTTGGCAGAGCAAAGTTCTTGCAGCATTTGCTGTAAATACATAAAAACCTGAAATACAACATTAATGCAGAGACTTTATCACCAGTATATGGTTGTCAGTTAGTTATTTTTGGTAAGTCATATAACGTTATCATCAGCACAAAGCAGGTGTAGCTTAAATGTGGTGTGTGGATCTTTGCTGCTAAGCCATGTGTCTGTGGAAGCACAGATACAGCAGACTCTCTGTGTAGTCAGCAGGAGTTACCCAACTTGCTCTTCAGTGAAAAGACAGTGGAGAACATGAAACAAGGCTTCAGAGCTATTGCTAAAGCTTTCTTTAAAGCCTAATATGGAGCGTTGGTGTTACGTCACATTTCCATCTCCTCACACACAATTTACAAAATCTATCACTGGACTCAGGTGAAACTGAGGCCTGGTCATAACATCAAACTTAACATCAAATAGTTACTGCTGGGCATCCTGTTCTGTTGATAATTGAAATTGGTGTTTGAATGGGTAAACAGAAGTTACAGATGCACTTTTAAGCTTTGTCTAAATAAGACATTTTCTGATCCTTATTGAAGTCCACATGAGCACCAAAGACCTGTTTCCATGAGAAGTGACATGTCCAAAGGGGAACCCCCAGACTTCAGTGATAATAAACCAAGGTAAGATACTCTGGAATTAAATTTCTATTAAACAAGTAAGAAAATGTTATTATAAACTCCTCTGTCATTAGTAAATCTGATTTAAAAAAAAAAACTAAGTACAGCATCGCAGTAATCTTAGTCAACAATATATTGCTGGTCATTCATAGCTTTGTACGTAAATAACTGAAATGCAGCACTGAAGCAGAGACTTCATCACCAGTATGTGGTTGTCAGTTAAATGATGAAGTTGTTTAGAACAGTTTTTTATTTTTGGTAAGTCATATAACGTTATCATCAGCACAAAACATGTGTACCTTAAATGCGGTGTGTGGATCTTTGCTGCTAAGCCATGTGTCTGTGGAAGCACAGATACAGCAGACTCTCTGTGTAGTCAGCAGGAGTTACCCAACTTGCTCTCCAGTGAAAAGACAGTGGAGAACATGAAACAAGGTTTCAGAGCTATTGCTAAAGCTTTCCTTAAAGCCTAATATGGAGCGTTGGTGTATATCACATTTCCATCTCCTCACTAACAATTTACAGAATCTGTAAGTGACCTCAGATGATGCTGAGGTCTGCTCATAACATCCAATTATGTTGGTTATTGAGAAGATTGAAAACATTGAGGGTAGACTTGACACTACATCAGTTATCAGTCAGGTCTTGAAATGAATAGTGATGGGACAGAGACAGCTGGTTAGCACGCTGTGTTCAGTATCTTTTTCAGCAAAACACTTAAATATATTTCTGCCGCTTAACATCAAATAGTTACTGCTGGGCATCCTGTTCTGTTGATAATTGAAATTGCTTTTTGAATGGGTAAACAGAAGTTACAGATGCACTTTTAAGCTTTGTCTAAGTAAGACATTTTTTGATCCTTATTGAAGTCCACATGAGCACCAAAAACCTGTTTCCATGAGAAGTGACATGTCCAAAGGGGAACCCCCAGACTTCAGTGATAATAAACCAAGGTAAGATACTCTGGAATTAAATTTCTATTAAACAAGTAAGGAAACATTATAAATCCCTCTGTCATTAGTAAATCTGATAAAAACTTTAAGTACAACATTCCAGTAATCTTAGTCAACAATATATTGGTCTTCATTCATGTTTTTAGAATATTTTGAATTGTAACTTTCTGATAAGCATTCATCACTTTCAGCACAAAGAAGTCGAGCTTCACGGGACATCTAACACTATCAATGTTAAAGTGACATTAATAGTTGTAATATGAACTGTGCAATCTGTTCCACTCATGCAAAAGTGACAATGAGCAGTATTTGGCAGAGCAAAGTTCTTGCAGCATTTGCTGTAAATACATAAAAACCTGAAATACAACATTAATGCAGAGACTTTATCACCAGTATATGGTTGTCAGTTAGTTATTTTTGGTAAGTCATATAACGTTATCATCAGCACAAAGCAGGTGTAGCTTAAATGTGGTGTGTGGATCTTTGCTGCTAAGCCATGTGTCTGTGGAAGCACAGATACAGCAGACTCTCTGTGTAGTCAGCAGGAGTTACCCAACTTGCTCTTCAGTGAAAAGACAGTGGAGAACATGAAACAAGGCTTCAGAGCTATTGCTAAAGCTTTCTTTAAAGCCTAATATGGAGCGTTGGTGTTACGTCACATTTCCATCTCCTCACACACAATTTACAAAATCTATCACTGGACTCAGGTGAAACTGAGGCCTGGTCATAACATCAAACTTAACATCAAATAGTTACTGCTGGGCATCCTGTTCTGTTGATAATTGAAATTGGTGTTTGAATGGGTAAACAGAAGTTACAGATGCACTTTTAAGCTTTGTCTAATTAAGACATTTTCTGATCCTTATTGAAGTCCACATGAGCACCAAAAACCTGTTTCCATGAGAAGTGACATGTCCAAAGGGGAACCCCCAGACTTCAGTGATAATAAACCAAGGTAAGATACTCTGGAATTAAATTTCTATTAAACAAGTAAGAAAATGTTATTATAAACTCCTCTGTCATTAGTAAATCTGATTTAAAAAAAAAACTAAGTACAGCATCGCAGTAATCTTAGTCAACAATATATTGCTGGTCATTCATAGCTTTGTACGTAAATAACTGAAATGCAGCACTGAAGCAGAGACTTCATCACCAGTATGTGGTTGTCAGTTAAATGATGAAGTTGTTTAGAACAGTTTTTTATTTTTGGTAAGTCATATAACGTTATCATCAGCACAAAGCAGGTGTAGCTTAAATGTGGTGTGTGGATCTTTGCTGCTAAACCATGTGTCTGTGGAAGCACAGACACAGCAGACTCTCTGTGTAGTCAGCAGGAGTTACCCAACTTGCTCTCCAGTGAAAAGACAGTGGAGAACATGAAACAAGGTTTCAGAGCTATTGCTAAAGCTTTCTTTAAAGCCTAATATGGAGCGTTGGTGTATATCACATTTCCATCTCCTCACTAACAATTTACAGAATCTGTAAGTGACCTCAGATGATGCTGAGGTCTGCTCATAACATCCAATTATGTTGGTTATTGAGAAGATTGAAAACATTGAGGGTAGACTTGACACTACATCAGTTATCAGTCAGGTCTTGAAATGAATAGTGATGGGACAGAGACAGCTGGTTAGCACGCTGTGTTCAGTATCTTTTTCAGCAAAACACTTAAATATATTTCTGCCGCTTAACATCAAATAGTTACTGCTGGGCATCCTGTTCTGTTGATAATTGAAATTGCTTTTTGAATGGGTAAACAGAAGTTACAGATGCACTTTTAAGCTTTGTCTAAATAAGACATTTTTTGATCCTTATTGAAGTCCACATGAGCACCAAAGACCTGTTTCCACGAGAAGTGACATGTCCAAAGGGGAACCCCCAGACTTCAGTGATAATAAACCAAGGTAAGATACTCTGGAATTAAATTTCTATTAAACAAGTAAGGAAACATTATAAATCCCTCTGTCATTAGTAAATCTGATAAAAACTTTAAGTACAACATTCCAGTAATCTTAGTCAACAATATATTGGTCTTCATTCATGTTTTTAGAATATTTTGAATTGTAACTTTCTGATAAGCATTCATCACTTTCAGCACAAAAGAAGTCGAGCTTCACGGGACATCTAACACTATCAATGTTAAAGTGACATTAATAGTTGTAATATGAACTGTGCAATCTGTTCCACTCATGCAAAAGTGACAATGAGCAGTATTTGGCAGAGCAAAGTTCTTGCAGCATTTGCTGTAAATACATAAAAACCTGAAATACAACATTAATGCAGATGTTGCAGCTTCAAGGCAGGGATGACTCCTGGAGTTGCTTTCTCACTGCATATTCTTTATTCCACAATCCGATCATAACAAAAACATACAGCAGCTCCTCTCCGACTCCTAGCCCTTTGCTGCGGTGGAAAAAAGAACCACTCCAAAACCCCTTCAAGGAACATATGTACAAAAGAGTTTTTCTAACACACCAATGGGGCGTTCAATGCCATCTTGTAAATATGAGTACCAGAACAAACAAGCAAACAAAAAAGAAGTGTGGGGTAC